TCCACTGCTGCCACCTCCGCTGCCACCACCACCTCCATCCCCTCCTCTGTTGCCACCACATCCTCCTCCTCTGCCCACCGTTTCTCTTTCTTCTTCTTCTTCATCTCCTCTTAGCACCCAGCACCTCTTCCCTGCCAAGCATTCCAAATCCCCTGCCAAAGAGCCAGCTGTACCACCACCGGCCACAGTGCCAGAGCCTGCTCCCCGCAGGGAGCTGAAAGGTATTCTTAAAAACATTCAGAATTTAGCGGCGATCGAAAAGTCTGTGGCCAACATGTACAGCCAAATAGACAAAAACCACGTCCTGCCCAAGCAGGTTTCTAAGCTCAAACCGGCTGCCACGCCAGAGCTGCCGACTCCAGAGGCTGTGCCTGAGCACAACCAGCAGAACGGCAACCTGAGCTGTGTTGTGGAGGAGCTTGAGAAACGCTTCCCGTCTCAGTCGACAGCACTGTAATATTTACGGTTGGATGTTTTCTGCATGTAACATTTTGAGTGAGATGACTCTAATGCAGCACACGGTATCTGCCTCAGACTCTCTAGAAATTCGGACTTTTTCCCTTTCTCTGCTGTATGTCACTACATATTCAGTCCTATTCCCAAACCGAGAGACATCGTCTTTCCCGTTCGCTCGGAAATTTGTAATATATAATTCTACAAGTTGTTTTCTCAGAGCTACATCTTGCTGTTCTATGATGCTGGTTCTTAGTCTGTTTACCAAAAATTCTTGGGGAAAACTGTCCATTTTTACCCAAGGATCCATCATAGACGCCGAGAGCTTGATACTGCTTTATGTTAAGCAGCCTCCACTGTAGGTAATACCAGTAAGCAGACCGATTTTTCTGCAGCTGTAATTGGAATCTCTTGCTTTGCCCATAAAACGTACCACCCGGGAGGAATCTTACTGTCAAATATTGGATGTCAAAGAAAACAAGTGCTGGTAGTAAGCAGGCTCAGCGAGAGTGAGCCGGAGTTATTGCAGTAAGGCATCTGCATATTCCGTGGGAGACGGCGCGGCGCTCCGCTCCGCTGGCATGCTCGCCGTCTTTCAGCTCATGTTTCCGTCTCGAGTCAGAAGAAGGGTTTTGTCTTGATTTCTCAGTCAACCTGCCTGTCTTCCCTCCTGTTACCCCTGTTCTGCCTTCCATTGCGGTTTTTTTTACATTGTAACTATGTGTTAAAAGTTTTTATTTTGTAAATTTCTTTCATGTACAAAGCGTTTGGGTTTTTATTTTGCATGTGCGTGTTGTCGGCGTCTCTGACTTCCATGCTACTTTGCCATGAGCTTTCCAGCTGAAACATCTTGCTTTATCTTAAATTGTAATAAAGTCACTCTGATTAGTGTCACCAAGTGAAGATTTTTCAAGGACTTGTAAAAATCCATGTCATGTGGATTGATTTACTGGCTTTTTTGCTCACGGTCATCCAACTCAGACCTTTACATTAAACATGTAAATTATAGTACATTAGCTTGTCCTTTGAAAAAAATGGTAAGTAAAAGCAGTTTGGGCATTAGTTGGGTTCAACTTGCAAGTTTCCTTTTAGTCATTTGCCAAAACTCCAATTATCTGTGTTTAATATGACAATTTTAAAAAACGTAAGGGGCGAGGGAGATATTACATGATGAAGAGAAACTAAATTCTGAGCAAAAAGGTAATTGATTGTCAGACTGTCTGGCGATACTCAGCATTTCCATGGTGCTTGGCTCTTTCTCTTTTCTCTTTTGTTTTTTAAATCCGCAGTTAGGACATGTGTGGATGCTTCAGTCGGAAACTGCGGAAACTCTTTCTTTGTCCCAGAGCCAAACCCCATAAACATCATCACACAAATTTCACTGACACATTACAACTTTTCTCTACTTAAAACTCCTTTTGGGCTACGGCTGTGGTTCCAAGACACCCATGGTTGCTAAATGCGTGAGGGGAGTTGTTATCACTCGTAGCATTTTTGCTGTGACAGAATCTGGCTAACTCACGAGACGCACGCATGGAGAATACCTGCCAATGATGCTGAGTTCTCCAAGAGCGGCCCTACTGCAGCACCAGCAGCAAATTGTCAACGTTCAGCAGCTATTAGGTAGAGAAACGTTTTAGATTTAGGAGCCAGAATCGGAGGACGGCTTAGGGGTGGGCTTGCTTCTGGGTGTCTGTGACGGTCCAGGTGTGGAGACAGTGGGACAGTGGAAAATGTCCAGAGATGAGCGTTTAGAGAGAAATTACTGTGCTAAGCGTGTTCAGAGTGGATCAACCCTAAGATAAAGGTTTGAATTTAGTCCCCAAATCCCACTTCAGAGCTTGTAGACCCATAACAGGTGCTTTTGTGGGGTTCATTACATCACTAGTGAAGTACTAGACAAATACGACCTGATTCTGCAGCGTCTGCTGTCAGACAGCAGCACTGCAGGTGTTCAGTAATTCACAGCAGAAACCCCAAAGGTTGTATTTGGCTACAATAATTTGTGGTATTTGTGAAGCAGAAAGGCTGGCCATCACACAGGAGCTCCTTTTTAAATATTTAGTTTCATCCGTCTCAGAAGAGTCTGTGGCAGCCATGGTAATCAGCTCTTCGCTAATGAGGAAACTTCTATTAGGTTGGAAAGCTTATGAAACCTAGTTTCATTTTGTCTGGAAGTAATGCAACCTTTGTTCTCCTGCTGGTTTTTTGAATAGCCTTTGTTTTAAAAAAATCATTCTATTAGACCAGGAAAGAAACTGTAACAATGGCGTGTATTTTCAACCTAAACCGGGGAAGTTCTATCCCATTGAGATGTCTGGATGCTACTGCAGTTCTGCAGCACTACAAAGCATTATAACCAACGTAGTAGTTGGTAAGAAGCGGAGCATCTATAAGCTTATTGACCTCTCCTCAGGTTGGTTGATTTGGTGGTTGGGGTCTGATGTGACCCTGGGTGTATCTCTTACCCTTTCATCATCCGCTCGACTGGGTTGAGTTCTGAGCGGGAGCGGAGATTGTTCCAGTGGAGAGGGCTGCTTTGCAAAGCTGAAATTGAGCCGCAGCCTATCATTACTCATCTCCTTTCCAGATCCTTCCTCTTCGGTTCCAGCTATGAACTGCAGGAAACCTCCATTTTAAGAGATTTTCAGGGCAAATTGACAAGCAGTTGCCTCCTCTGAGTAGTGTCTGTAATATCTGGGGTTTATGATGCTTTTGCTCTTAATATGAAAACAGATACAATGTGCAGAATAGCAAATGCCTGTTGGGATGCCAGTAATTGGGAATATTGTTGCTTTAGGCAAATCAAATCACTGTTCCTTTAACCTGTGCTAGCAATACAGACCTGGGAAAGGTTGGCACATTTTGTACATGTGAATTCATTTTTGCTTTATCTGTCACGTTAAGTACCAGCAGTCTGTAGTAGCGGTCACATTATCCTACATCATCATAGGCACTGTGTCCTTGCTTCCCATTTTGCCTTGAAGATTTCTCTCTGACTGACTGCAGTGAAGTCTGGCTGATAATGTTTATCCAGATGCAATTCCTCCCTCGGTGGAGAACTTCCTTCCTGGAAAGAAATGCTGCTGGTTTGACCTTTGCCTTTTTGTCAGAATAGATCCTTGTGCTGTATTGAGTGAATGGGTATTTTTTGTCTTTTGGGGGCTTTTTTTTATTTCTACTCATGGCCACAGAAAACTGTAAGAGAAATACAAGCATCTCTCCAAACACAGTGTGGGGCTGTTTTTAAAGAAGTTGAATTCCAAATTGAATGAGAATTACCTATATTACACTTTTAATCTGCAATATAGTAACTACTTGAGAGCAATTAAGATTAATAAGCTTACTTTCTGTGCAACGCAGACTTTCATCTGGAGATTGTTGTAGGCGATATGGAAACTAAATACAGTGTTCCTCAAGTGGGCTTTGAAAAGTCCCAGATCATCTTTTGATGATAAATCTTCATTTCAGTTGTTCATTAGTTTTGTATTATATGGGCAACAGCATTAATTTAATGCTGATAATCAATTCCATGTGTTGAATATTAATAGAAAACTTTATAGATGCTGATATTAAAGAATTAAAAGGACTTCTACTCCGCTCTTTATTATTTACTCAAGTGTAATTAAAGAATTTCCCTAGACTGCTGACTGTGTACTAGGTTAAGCTCAACATAATTTGGAGCATTTACCCTTTCCTTCTTTAAAAAAAAAAAAAAAGAAAATTAAAAAAATCCAAGCTTATCCTTAATAATAATGCTAAGACCTAAATTGATGTTCCCTGGTTTTGTCTCAACCGTTTTAATTTTCTTGCACAGAATGTGAAAATGGGGAACTTGGTAGACAGAAGTGCAGTTTGTCATGCGTAGGAATGGCTCAGAGAAAGTGAATCAAAACAACAACAAATTTCCAGTGACGTCAAAAGCACAATGCCTGTGGCAAAATAATCATAGACAGCAAAAATAATTTAACTCCCCCACCCCGCCCCGCATAGGTGATGTTGGGAAATGTGTAATTTTAATAATAATGTTGTTACAAGAAATTAGTAATGGAAGCTCCAGGCCAATTTCTATCAAGTCCCGAGTGGATAGAGCAAGTCCCGAAGTAGCAGAGAGACTGTTTCACTGCTTAAGCAGATGCGTGAAATGAGTCTTCCCGTGGGTGGTCTCTGGGAAGGTGACTGGGCCGGACCTCTCTTCCGGGATCGCAGGGAAAACCAAACATAGCCTTTCCCCCCTTTCCCTTCGCTGTGTTCCACGGGCTGCACTGGCTCTCTGGCTTTTGGGGATTGGGGATTCTCATTCATTTGCAATCTCAAGCAAGAAAAGATCCCAAAGATTCTCTAGCCTTTCTCCTGCACTAATTCCGATGTCCAGAGCAAATCTAAAGAAAAACATATTTTGTGTTGTTGAAACGTACTTTTCTTGCTGCTAATATTTCTAATTGCATTATCTTTTCACCTCCCTCCAGACAGAATGCCAATATGTGTCTTTGTATAGTCTCTGAGAAGTATATTAATCAGTTTTTTTTTCTTTTTCTGACTTCTAGGCGAGGATATGCACAGCAAGAGGTAAGGCAGTTCCCCACTTCTGTTTCAAATACAAAGTCCATCAGCATAATTTCCCCGAACAGCCTACGTTGGGACACTCATTGCTGTGGGGCGTTGTAGAGGCCAGAAATATATAGTATAGAATCATAGAATCATAGAATGGTTTGGGTTGGAAGGGACCTTAAAGCCCATCCAGTTCCAACCCCCCTGCCATGGGCAGGGACACCTTCCACTAGACCAGGTTGCTCAAAGCCTCATCCAGCCTGGCCTTGGACACTTCCAGGGATTGGGCATCCACAGCTTCTCTGGGCAACCTAAATATAAAGTGCCCCAAAAAATTTCACGAGGCATAGATGCAATGGGGGCTAGTAACCATTGTGGCCTCAATACAACCTCCAGGCTAGGAGAGGGCGGCTCAACAAACTGCCCAAACAGTTTCCCCCAGGCTTGCTGTGTTTTCTTGGGGCGGGCCTCATCGTCTGCCGGAGCCCGCTGCCGCGGGCCTGTGCTGCCGCTGCACGGACCTTCTGTGCAGCTCTGTGCTGTTCTTACAGCATCTTCATCTCCGGCAATCAGCCACGCTGGGAGTTTCCTTCAGAAATAGGGATGAACCCGTTTAATAATTGGAATGTTCCCCAAAATGCATTTCTGTCAGAAAGGCTGACGTTTACGGCTTGAGAGCGGGGTCAGTTTTACTAATCTTAGAGCGTGCGTCAGGAGCCTGCTGCTCCTTCTTCGGTAGCGGTCTACGAATCACAAGCGCTCTGTTGTTCTGCTGTGATTTCTCCTCCATTTGCAGGGCTGATTTGTGTCTCTCAGTTCAGATACAGGACTTCCTCATCTCTGAGGGCTTTGGTTTCGGCCCAGAAACTTGGCTGAAATAGTGTCACTAAGTTTTGAGGGGAGACCGGGGACAGCGGTACTGATTCTTCCTGAGTAAATCTGATCCTCATTTACAAAACCGGAGCTGTAGAGTAATTAACAGCATGATTACCAAAAACAACCCATGTTTAGCTGTGACACACCTGAGAGGAGCCCTGTTGCCCTGTCGTTCCTCTCCGTGCAGCCTCCCGGGGTCTTTAACCTCACGTCAGCGTGCTTCTCTGACTGCGTGCTGCTTACAGAAGGAAATCACACCTAAGCTGTGGAGAAAACAACTGAGAGAATCCTTCACTGTCTCAGCGGTAGGGTGAATTTGGGGCTACGAGGTACTCGGTCAAAAGCCACAGAAATATATACATATAGGTAGATAATTAAAGCAGTGGTATTGCAGTAGAAGCTTGGGTAAGAAACCAAATCACTTCAGGTTTTAAGTAGCTGAAGCACAGACTTTACTGTGGGTTCCCATGGATGTGCTTTCTGCCTGTTGTGGGTCAGTTTTTGTCTGCCATTCTCTCCCTGCTGCCTCCAGAATACATCACGCAAGAGCTCTCCGGGGCTCTGACGGAGGTTCTGCGTTAAATAATTTAGAGAATCACCACATAAACCAGGAATTTAATTTTATTTTAGGCAGAAGAAATAGCGGAGTGTAAGGTGATTTTACTATGTTAGGTGCTTCGCCGTGTTCTGCTTCTCAGCGAGTGTGGGGTATCCAGGTGACTTCCCTACAACAGGCTCTGAAGGACCGGTGCTTTCAGGATTTCTTTCAGTCTTAACTCAGACACAAATGACCAGCACTTTAATTGTTGCTGCCTAATTAATCCCTTTCTAATTTTCTTTTGCAGCAACAGCAGTTGCTGAGACCTTCCCTTCTCAGACCAGAGGTACCATTATTTTTCATTTCTTTTTTAATGGCTTTCACGTAATTTCCTAGCAAAAACTTGTCTGTCTTCGGTCATATTTCCCACCCTGACTCTTTTAGATGAAAAGGAAAGTCCTGATATTGTTACTCCATTTGTGTTGTTTTAATTAAATACCTTAAATTTCCCACGTGTTGGTATTTTCCCCTTGAGCATCTTACAGTTGCTCCCATGGACTTCATCGGGCAGATGGAAAGCTTTCCCAGTTTCATGTCCAGATTCACAGGCAGAATAATTTCATTTTAGATGTCAGTCAACTGGGAGTCGATTATTGTACCTACAGATGAGCTAAGCAGCTGGTCTGTCGAGGTAATGAAAGCATTAGCACGCTGCTGTGAAGTGCGAAGGCCGCTCTGGATTATAGACCCAATTCTTTCCATTTCAAATCTTTTAGAAGATTTCCGGTATCGTTTCCAGAATAATCAATAGAGCAAATGTAGCTTTTGTGAGATGTTGCTATCGATGGTCTTTTTGTGGTACGATATGGCAGTAGTTTCTGCAGACATGATCAGTAGGAGATGCTCTGACACAACTTGGAATTCATTGGACAGGAGAAAAACCTCTAGGCAGCTGTGAGATGGAGACGACACGCAGTCCCTTGCTGAAACCCAAGCCCCGGCGCTCTGTGGCAATACTGCAGTTCGGAGGTATCCCACAGAGCAGCCTGATAACAGACAGTGTGTGAAAGGAGCTTACGGACACGCTGGCACTTTCGTAGGATGCAGACCTTAGCATACTCTAACGCTGCTCATGATTGTTGGTGGTTGAGAAAACCTAAGGAGACCTGACAGTCACTGTAATAAAATAGCCCTAACCTTTCAGCAGAGCTTCTTCCTCTGAGAGAGGCAGGAGAGGCGGCAGCGTGAGTCCAGCTTACTGAATGAGGGTTTCGTACAGCGTCCCGCAGCAGAGCAGCGTCTACGTTCAGCTGACTTAGAACGCACGCTCCCAGGGAATATGCCAGGGAAGGGGTCACGTAAAGCCGCTGTTGGTTTCTTGACAGTTGTCAGTGTCCCTCAAATTATCATGTTTTACTTTGCTGGTTTGCACTTTAAGATACTGTTCTTGGTGCCTTTTTCATTAGTCGTTACTGTTTACATGCCATTGGTGTTTCTCTTTTGACAGGAGTTAAGTATGGAGTCTGGAATTGATCCAGGGCAGGAATACTATGGGCAGGATTACTACAGTTATGAGCACGGGTATATTTTCATTTTTCCTCTATGTTTCTGAAAACGCTGCTTTTCCAGGTTGGTGATGTTTATTATTACAGCGTCTAATCTGGAGACTTGCCTTCACCTCAGGATTACTTTAATCTTTGTGTCTAGGAAGGCGTGCACTGACAACAGAACTCTTATTAAAAGTTAAGGGGGCGTTATAGAACTCCCTGCTTCTTTAGGAATCCAATTATTACGCTTGCAGAGTGCATTCCCCATCTATCATGCTGGTTTTATGTTCACTTTTCATTTGCATATTTCTGCTGTCTTGGAAATTAATTTCCATCATCTCCTCCACTTTTGTGGCTCATCAGCCTGGGTGCAGTGACGGATACTTTCTGCTCACAGTTCCCACCAGCATCTGGCCTTTTACATTTACCCAAAAACCCACCATCTTGCCTTGTTCTGATCATACCCATCAGACTGCAGGCACTTCAGGGGTCACTGCTGTTCTTACAAGCCCACAGTGATTTTCCAGAACTTGTCCCAGGGAACCCGCTCTTTCATTCCCTAATTATAAAAAAGATCCTCCGAAAAGCTCAGGTACCTGGAAAGAAGGTCATTGCACTTGGGGGATTCTTGCCTGATCCTGGAGACTTCATGTTTTGGGGCCTCCCCAGCTGTAATGGGCTTGTGGCCCATTGAAATAGGAAGAGGTTTTGGATTGTGTTGCCACTGAGAAGAAAGGAATAATAACCTTCTCAGAGGTAGGGAGACGGGAGAGCAAAGGAATTCTCGTCCTTTCGGCATGCGAGCACGCGCATTTGTTGGTGCCCGTTATCGAGAGACGATGGTGTTTTTGCCAGGTATGAGCTGCCTCAGTATGGGAGCCGCCGCCGATTGCTGTCTCCTTCAGGGATGTACGATGAGTACGGAGAAGTCGTGGTGGAGAACGACGGTGGCTACTACTATAGTCCGCATGGATCGACGGCAGAAGAGGTAAGCATCTCTGGTGCGTCTCTGGTGTGTGGATTCTGGCTCTGCAGCGAGATGAAGGACCATTAGACCTTGTCGAGTGTATTTCATAATTGACTGAAATATTGTATTCTGTATAGACCAGTTACGCAGCTCTTCCAGTGCCAATCACAGTTTGCCCTCCTGATGACGGCTAAAGATTGTGTCAGCACCTTTTTCTAGATATAAAAAGGAATTGCAAAGTTTCTTTTAATAGCCACAGCTACTTTTTCCTCATTGCAGATTTCTAGTTCAAAGCAAAATCCACATAGCCTTAGGTAATTCCATTTTATATTGTTAACCAAAGGGGGTAGCACTAATATTCAGCCTATAACTGCTGATTTTCCACTGAGAAAAGCAGTCGCCTGAACTCGTTTATCATAGAGTTCACAACTGAAGAAATTTTAAAATGTCAGTGGCAGCCAGAAGAAAGTTGACATAAATGTTCCTTTTATTTTTTTTTTAATCTAATTTTCAGACATGCTAGACTCCTAATCCACTTGTGATTAAAGGAGAAGAGAGAACATTTCTGAGCTGGTATTTTTTCCTGTTGCAGAGTTAGGTAGTTGTGCACTTGCAGCCTATGCTGGAAGTACAGCTTTCCCCATAAATTTGGTTAAAAGCTATTCTAAAACAGGTAAGTGAGTTCTGTGGCTGGGAAAGGCCATTGCATTTGTTCCCTCTGACTTATTTTAAGGTATGAGTTTTCATAGTAACTGCCTTTCAAATTGTAACCAAGTTCCATTTTCACAATTTGCAGGGGATGAGTCCAGGTCCTTCAAGCAGAGGTATAAGCCAGAGAGCAGGGGCTCAAATAGAAGGTAGACCTTTAGGTGGTGGGATGGATCTAAGACGTGGTTCTGGAAGAGCATATAGGACCAGCCAGGGAAAAAGCAGTGATGCATTTAAGCCGCGTAGCAGCCAGTGCTCACAAACCAGTAGGAGGAACTGAGTCTGCTCGCTCCCCATGGAAGAAGGCAAAGATATTCCCCATGATTCTGCAGAAAGTGAAAAGCGGTAGGAAGGATTCCAGTTATGCCAAGTTGATGTCAGCTCACCAAGTGGGTGGTGAGAAAAGCATGATTATCAGGGGGAGTTACTTCCAGAAATCGACAGATGACAGGCCTTCGATGAGAAAACTAAATCACGTGTTAAAACGCATTAGTGTCTCCAGAAAATTTCAAGAGCCTATTAGATCAGATTCAGCGAGAGGAAAAGGAGAGGAAGAATATAAAGGAGATGAAGCAAAACCAGGAGTTTCAATAAATATCACAGCAGAGAGTGAACATGAGGATAGTGATTATGAGAAGAAGAAAAAGAGAAGAAGATACACTTCAGATGAATCATCCGAGCAGAGCAGTAGCTCTGGCTCGGAGTCAGAAGATAAAGACTACTTGAAAGTAACTCTGGACCAAGATGAAGCCACTGAAAGTACTGTGGACTCGGATGAAGACACTGGGCACGATTTTGGTGATTCTGACGACGACTCTGGATCCAGCTCAAGCAGTGAATCCGAGGGGGACTCATCCGAAGAGGACGATGATGAGGAAGACTCTGACAGTGATGAAGATGGTAGCCTGTCAAAGAGCTCATCTACGCAGAGTTCGTTCAGCAGATCAGGGACTAGTGAGTCCAGCAGTAGAAGAAGCACTGAAAGGTCCAGTATAAAAAGTACAGGAGGTAGCTCTCGTGGCAAAGTAAGGCGATCCAGCCAAAAATCAAACACTGGCTCTAATGCATCAGGCAGTGACAGGGACACGAGCTACAGGAAAACTTCAGGATCCAGCTATAAGAGCAAAACCTCCTCCGCCAGCATTGAAATAGAAGACACGATAGAAGAGGTGTCTGAAGAAGATGAACAAGAAGATGCGGAGCAAGTCGGCGCAAGTGCTGACGAGAGGGCAGATAACTCGGATGAGGCAGTTTCTGAAACACCTGCCAATGCAAAAACCGCCGCTACTGAAGAAGGGAAGAGAGAAAAATCGGCTATTAATGCTGAGGATAGCGTGGACGAAAGCACAGAAGAGGTTGATACAGATGGGAGTGACAGGGAGGAAGCTGTCAGTAAGAACGAATCTTCTTGCCTAGAAAGTGAGATCAGCGTTACTTCCAAAGGTACTGAAGGGACACAAAGCACAGCTAGTGCCACTTCTGGTAAAACTGCTACTTCCCCTGATACTGAGAATCAAAGTTCGGACACCCACCTGAAAAAAAAGAAAATAAGAAAAAAGATGTTGCCGGAAAACAGTCAGTCTCAGTCAGATGAGACCCTGGATACTGCTGTTACGGAGTCAGAGACCACCGGTGATTCTACGTCCTTTTAAAAAGGAGTGACAGTAGGTGGATGTTTTGCAGTAAGGAGTGCTCTTGTTTGCTGTGCCTTCTGTGTGGTCTTTCCTAAGCAATACACACTTGACTAGCGACAGCCAAGAGAAAATGCCAAAGCTTATTCCTGCAGTATTTGACCCCCGTGTGCTGTCTTTTTAGAACTGTAGAAAACTGAACTCATGCAATTCCTCTGAGACACCGCTCAGGTGTACTTTGTGGTGGGTATAGAAAGATTTGTTCTCATTAAGCAATGGCAGGAAGCAGTACTTCTTTCTCTCTGCTAACGTCCATAATGTAGTTAGAGGCATCGTGTTCTTAGATTTATACTTTTTGCATTATGCATGTTGTGAGGCAAATTGACATTGCATTTCGCATTAGCTGTGATGGATAGCTTGACAAAGCTGATGGCACAAACCTAGGAAGGGCCCTATTTCATGCAGGTTACGTCTGTCATTAAATGGAACGCTGCAGGAAGGAAAAGGGACAAAACATGGAAATTGGTGAAGAACAGGAAACGGTGATAAGGATGAAAAGCCTTAGGAAGTCACGCATGGTTTCACCTTGTGCTCCCCTGCTGTACATGTGCTAATCTTCTGATGAGTTCTCTGCTGTAAACATTAGCCCTGCTTGCAGGGAGGACAACAGAAACTGCAGCAAAGCGCTCCCAAAGTTGCAGAGTTTTACTAGTAAGGCTGGGATTAAACTGTTTCTGGATCATGAAATTTCAGGTTTCAGGTACCAGTGGTGTACTGGACAGGAATGCAGAGGTAGGTGTACGAAGTGACCTTGGTCAGAAAAGGGAAGTGGATGACAAGGTCCAACTTCTGCCCTTCCCACCTAACAGTACTGTGATTTTATTTCAGTTTTTTTTAAACACCTGTTTAAAAGTTTGAGGTGTGTAACAGCAAAGTATTGCTGAAGGTAACCTTCACCTTTGTTGCATATTTTGGTATCTGCCTTTTAAAACACAATAACCCAGAATATCTGATGTGATTCCACAGATAAATCTTGCAGCACTTTAATTAGCAGAGTTCCGCTCAGAATGAGAATATTTGTGTAGGAAGGACATCTGTTACTGATAGCACAAGTGGCCTTTGTGTTTTCCTGTAAGAAGCAACCTCTGCACGATGTACCTCCTCAAGGAGCTCTCATCCCTGCTGGCAGCCCACGGAGCAGGCAAGCTGCGAATACACGCAAGCTCTACTTACCTTGTAGAGCTGTTTCTCAGCCACTGGATTTAGCCAGATAAGCCATTAGAAACCTAAATAAAATTAAAGCTTTGAGCCAGGATTGGATTAGTCTTGTGAGTTCTTTAAAGCTACTACAGATTCTGGCATATGCACCAAAGCTCTGTCGGGAAGTCTCTCTTAGACGAGGGAGAGAAAAACATTTGCATTTTTAAGATACTTGAGCCTGCTGTGGAGTTACCCTGGCAGGACAATTGGTGTGGCACTGCAAAGCCTGATCCTAACTTTTCAACCACTGTCTTTAATTCCAGTTGAAATGTCGACTAGATTTACAAACATTTACCCACTTCTTTGTATTCCCATACAGCACAGACTTGTAGCTGCACGTGGTATTTTAGTGTAAATCCCATTTAAACTAGTCAGTCTTTGCATCCACCTGAATATATCTGTGGAAAGGAAATTGTATGTCTTTATCAGGAACATAAGAGTAGTCCTCTGAGTACTTTGTACAAAGTGTAACTTCTCAAAAGCTTATGAGTAATCATCACCCATTAGTACCTCGCATGATTTTCTTTCTCTAAAAACTGGCTTTTGGGGTGTGCATGTATGTACTGCAGTGGGAGTTAACTGTGATGGTATCTGCTGCCTTAGTGAAGTAACAGTGTTTTCATTCTTAATTCAAGAGTGATAGTAGCTTGTTTCAGGGAGCTGCAAGGAGGCATTTATTTTGAAGAGTTCAATTATAAATCTACCTAAGTAATGGGGTTTGTGTAATCACTGTTAGTACAGAGTCACAGCAACATGAAAATGGTATGCCTTAATTCTTTAAAAAAATATATCCATTATATAAAATCTAAAGCCTCCTTTCTCCAACATCTTCCAATTAAAAGCAAAGCATCTCCATTGGTTCCACTAGATTGGAACTGGCACGAAGCCTTACATCAAGCTTTTCTATTTAAAAGCAGCCAATTTTGCCAACGTCATGCCTGAGATTTTCCCTCCTGTAGGTCCCCAGATCTTTCTCTACTTGAGGTGTTGTGCAGACAAAAGAGCTGCTCAATGCCACTTCTGCACTGAATTTACGGTGTAGTAATATTCTGGGAGAAAATTTCTGAGGCCTTCCAAGCATTTACCCATTAGTTACGGTAGTTTCAGAAGTATCACACAATGGCTTCATCATCCATGCCTTCCAGTTTCTGTTAGAAGGGGGTTCTAATCTCGTTGCTTTTCATCTCTCTCTGTGAGACAGGCTGAGAAGTTGCTTTGTCAAAACATGACTGGCTTGCCAGTATCTGAAGTTTTCTTGCAGAAAGTGATGTCTCCATTCTCAGGATTCTCCAGAGAGGAGCGCTTGACTTAATGGGAGCACATCTGAATGCTTTTTTTTTTTTTTTAGCAAAAACAAAAACACAAGCCAAATTTGCCGCTAAATCACCGTTTTTATACATTCTGCCTGACTCTCAGTATGCAGTTCGTGAACTCAAATGAAGTTATCCGTCTTTGTCCCTAGAACTCTTGGGGTGTTTAAGCATTAGGTACATTTGGCAGGGGCATACAGTGATAATCAAAACACAAAAATATCTGTGTACAACCAAATATTTAGAGGAGATAAGAGGAAGGGTATAAAGGACCAAGTGAATAACAATTCATATGAGCGTCTAGATAAAAGACAAGGTAAGAGATAGAAAAGGGACATGGAAACGTAAGAAATAGCGCTGCGATTTAACGCTATTTCTATTTATTGTCAAACAGTGGGCCAGAAAGAAAAGGATCAAGTTGATAGTCGACCCGGAGTACGAGACCAGCTCCACTGGAGAAGACAGCGCTCCTGATTCCAGCCAGAGGAATCGTCTTAACAACCCGAATATTCAGAACAACATCAATGGTAACATCTACATCGCGCAGAACGGCTCTGTGGTCAGAACCCGTCGCGTTGGCCTTGGTAATAATTTGAAAGTCACGTCTCCAGTGCGGCTGGGGAAACAGTTCAAGAAGCTGGACAAGCTTGCAGTGACACACGAGGAGAATGTCCCACTGAACACGTTGTCAAAGGGACCCTCGTCCAGTGATAAAATGAACACAAGACCTTGCAGTGTCTCATTTGCTTCCTCTACGATAGGGGCCGAAAGTATAGTAACGAGGCCAGGGGGCTCCAAAATGAAAAGCACAGAAGAGCAGGAATCGGTTGTTGCTAACGAGGATGTCAAAGAGCCCTTGGAGTCGCACAGTGAACACACACAGTCAGATGAAGAGGAGCTCTGGATGGGCCCTTGGAACAACCTTCACATACCAATGACAAAACTGTGATCTTCTTCTTTTTTTTTATTTTAATTTTTACTTCAGTTTATAATAAACTGCGCTTTTTATTGTCACTGAGGAAAATGTATGGAATTTGTATTGTGCACATACATTGTATACTACAAACGACACGCTTTAAAGTTTAAAAACAAAGTTTGCACTCACATTTGTACCAATTAATTGTCCTCCCCAACAACTATTTTGACAGGCTCCCATTTCACTAAACAATACTTCATTTAAATTAATTCAGTTTTTTGGATCTTGATTTAATGTTTAATAAACAGTAAACTACTAATAAATGCACAGCAACATTTGGTTAACTTTTCAGACAGTTCTATACATACCTAGCTTGGTTTTCTGTATGGTACTTGTGGCTATACTGTTTAGATTTGGAAATTGTCTGTTTATGTTCAAGATTTATATCCAGAGCTCTTGATTCTGAACTCAGAGTAATAAATTAAAAATAAATCCATGAAAGTCAATGGAGCAAATCCTCGGCTGGCTTAAATTTGAGTAACAGCAGCAAAGTCGATAGTGATATACCAGTTTATGCAAAGAGAGGGTCTCGCTCAACACCCAGCTAGCAGACATAGGTAAGAGTGGAATCGGAGTCCGTAAGGATATAGCACTGTTCCATAGAAAAGTGGAATAGAAGATTAAGTAGGATAAAAATTGCGAAGAGGAAGGGAATGTGTAGCAATTAATCTTATTCAGAGTTACCTGGCCGTGGTTTGTTCATTTTCTTCTGTAAATTAGCTCATTCCCATTTTCTTCTCCAGTCAATTTTTCATCTTTTCATCTCTTCCCACATCAGTTCTGTTTTCTTCTTTATACGGTCTTTAGCTCCAGTTTTTATGCTCCATCAATAATTGTCATCCTATGGCTATATTCCTCCGAAATAAACCAGGATGATGCACGAGTCTGTGTGATAGAAATAGGCATTAAAGAGTAATTAATAGGAAGGGGATGGATGCATTTTCAAGCCCAGCTAGCTGTTGGGTTAAGTGGTACAATCACCATTCCACTCCACTAGTGTTGAACATAAACCTGCTGAAAAGACGAATGGATGATGGTGAAGAGGATAAAAAGTGGTTATTTTACGAGGCTAATGTGCATCAGCGCATCTGTGAAGGGCAAAGGGTGTCAGAACGCACGCACAGAGTTGTTTCAGAAACTTAAAGTAAGCATTAGTGGTAAAATACACTACATGAATTTTGGCACCTGCTTATAATTTCTGTTTGTACCTGGAAGTAGGGAGCGTGTTGTGGTACAACTTGAAAAAGGAGCTTAGAAATGCCCCTGTTCGCCGTTGCCGGTACCTAAAAGACAGTGGCAATACTGAGCAAAGTATTTTTCTCCAGTGTGGTATGGGGAAGTAAAAAGGAAGGTGCATGTTCACGTGAGAGAAGTGTCCAAACGTTTTACTCAGGGTACGATCGAACTAGCTGTGAGAGCAGTATGGATACCTCTTGAAAGATTGGGAGACGTGGCAGAGACGCGGGTGCGATCAGTAAGGGAACGATTGGCACCCTGATTCTTTCCGTGTTGCCGCAGTTGAAGTTGCACCGCAGGATTCGGATGACAGTGGCTGCTGGTTCTGCTCCGGCAGCAAACGGACGTCGGCTGCTGGGGTTGTGTTTGTTTTCCCCTCACCCAGGTTCTCCTCCACGAGGCTTCCTGTGATGTTCGTCTTCGGAAGCTGTTCGCATGTTATGCCGCCGTACGCGTGACATACCTCCTTTTCAAGCTGAGGTTTCTGACCAAATAATTTGAGATGGTGCTCATTTTCAAGCATGAGAAATGCAACATAGCCTACCACGCAAGCTAAAGAGAAAAAAAGAGACCGGGTATTTCTTTCTCCTAACTCTTTCATCTTGGCATATTTGCACTCGGTAACCTCACAAAAAAATAGTTCAGCTAGAGTCTGAACGTACAGATAAGAATGATGGAAGAAAAACAAAAAATCTATTCTTTGAAATAACTAGTAAAATGTTATATTTTAATCCTGTCTAAGATAGTGTTATTATTTCACTACATCATTTTTATTGCAAGATCTGTCGGTTTGGTTCTTACAAAACACTTCGATAAGGTGATAAGCTTTTTAGAGAAACATTGTCTCTCAGAGACTCTCAATTTTCTGAGGGGAAAAAAAGGGTTTCTTTTCCTAGAGACTCGCAGCTCTACCAGCTTTAGCTCTAGCTCTGTGAAGGACTGTCCACGCCGGTGGTCACTGGGGCTGTGCACGCCTCTCAGAGGCAAATCCTGTCCGTACCGTCTCCTGTTTTGTGCTGTCCAGGCACTCAGAACTTTTCCCACAATGCGAAGAGCATAAGAAGTTTAATTTTTTGAGCAGCGGGTGGTGTTTGTTTATCTAAAAATCTAGCTTGATTTTAGCTGAACTTGTAGTGATCTTCAAAATCTTGAATGCTGTTGGGAAAGCATTTGTGAAGAGGGCTTGACGAAATCTTCCATAGGTGCAGAAGATTTCGGGGGAGTGGGGGAGTGTTTTCTTTTTTATTTTCTGTGGATGTAATAACAGTAAACTGATACACAATTTGAATCCTTATTTTCTGGGGATCCCATACTGTAAATTAATACAGATTTTAGACTCTGAGCAGGCAGTGGGGCCCGGAACCAACAGCAATCACAGTACAGACTGATACCATAAAAAAGGTCACTTGTAATTTTCCTCTGGGAAACAAAGTATTAGCATGGCTTTGGTGGATACAGTAAGTAGAATAATGTATCTGGGTCTTGGGTATCATTTACAGCTGTTTAAGCACTGAAATTTGTAAAGCTGATGCAAGGCACGAGCGTTTTCCCCTGGGTGGCAGAACGACTCACTGGCTGACCGATCAAGGTGATGATCATTGCTCCTGACACTGATTTAATGTGCCCCCGCCAAGCAGGCACCGAAAGTTCTGGGGTTTAGTACAGCATCTGCTGCGTTTTCAGTCTAAGCAAGATTCAGGTGACCGATGCCGGGCTGTAGAAGGCCGTGTAAATGCCCACTGCGAGACACAACAAGGAATGTCAGGAGAAAAAGCAGAATCCCTTTTTTTTCCTATAAGTATGTACTACTTTGTCCAAGACTGTAAAGAAAGCCCCGTGGTTCTAGTGGGGATCTGTTAGGAGGCTTAAAGCGTTTATACAAGGTAATTGTTTGTTATGCTACCAGTGAATGACCTGATTCTGCCAGGTAATTAACGGTAGGTAGTCCTTGCAGGCAGTATTTGCCTGCCTGGAGGTGGGCGAAAGGACAGCGCGTGGTGGGTGATACGTGTGCCTGTCTGGGTGCCTTCTGCTGGCAGAGTGACAGCACCATCATGCAGCATCCCCCTGCCCCACAGTGAATCCTTCCAGAACGTGGTTATGCAGCTGGAAAACTTGGACAAGTCAGCAAACTTGAAGAGAGATTGGGGAAAAAAAAAAACCAAACCCACACACACAAAAAGCACCAGAAACAAAAAACTGAATTTTTAGCAATTGGAGAACATCACCAATCTGACACAAGTTTCAGCACGTTGGAAAAACAAGTAGTGGGATCAGGATGTTTTGGGCCAGTCACAACCTTGAAAGTTCTTTCTGGCAAGTGTCACACACTCCTAAGGAAATTCAGCTTGGTAGTTGAACAAAGTCTCTGATGGATCACAGCCGTGGTGGTTCTGGTGTCTCCTCCTGGTCATCCCCAGGTTGCTCCAGTGTGATGATCTCAGAGGTTGGGAAGTGACTTTTCACATCTGTTCGCCTCTAGAAATGTCAGTTGTAACTCGAAGATTTCCAGTTAAGTGTGTTTTAAATCTGGTGGATGGTGCTGAATTGGGTCGTGCTGCAGCGGGGGGTTACGCCTGTGCATGCTTTCTCAGCGAGCCCTAGTTCCCGCTGTGTGAAGAGGAGCACCGAGGCCAAAACAGAAAGGGTGGCAGCTTTCTCCTGCCCCGCACAGGCTTGCTGATGGCACAAACGCTGCGTGCAGAAAACTGAGTCGCCGCTGTCTCCTTGTTTATAGGCTGAGGAAGACCTGCGTTTAATTCAAAGTATTGATGAACCACGAGGTCCGATCAAGGCAAAGAAGGGGGCAGTTCATCAAATGGATTTTGAAGGCAGCCGGTTCTCAAAAGCCCGTTAGATGAGTACTGAGGAATATCGCCTTTTTTCTTTATTACTGGAGAAGAGAGTTTCAGTGATTTCACTGCTTGGACTAGGAGCGCCAAGCCCAGCTGATCAAATGATGAAGCTGTAGCACAGGCCTGGATCAATAGTGTAGCAACAACACACGCAGAATCGGGTAACTCACTCGGAGCAGAACAAACCCAAAGCTTTCAGGGTGGCAGCAGCCTGGACGGCTGGGAACGCCGTTTCTCTTTCTGTCGCTGATTGCTGCTCTTCACCAATACCTGATAAAATTACATTGCTCCTTTCACGGGTCACCCAACACAAGCAACACCAACCCTGCAAACTGTTTGCGTGTTGTCAAGCAACGCGGTGATGCGGTGGTACCCAGAATGGGTACAGCGTTCCAAGGAATGTTTGTTTGTCCCCTGTGGATGCCATAGAAGCATAGAGGTGGCCATGGAATTGGGGGTTTGCTGCCATTTTGCTCTGAGCAGCCAGCGTGGGGTGAGCAGGCATGAGGAGCCTGTGCTGGAGGTCAGCAGAAGGGGATGCAAGCTCCCAATTCCTGGTGTGTGGATTGGTCCACAGGGAAGCAGTAAGCTTGTTCTAGCCCAAGGGGGCTGTAGTTTGTATGTTGTCAAGCTGGCAAGGAGCAGCATTTCCCACAGAGAGCGGGGGGAGCCACGCAGAGCTGCTGGGGCAGCTAATCCACTGGGGCAGTGTGGGCAGAGACGTGGAGACCCTTAGGACAGCCCACGCTTTGCCTGTAGGTTTCCACAAGGAGATCCCGTTGAAACTCTAGCTCAGGACAGGCTGACCTTGCTCGGAGCGGGTCATAGCCACTCAGTTGTTCGTGCCATGTTCGAGTGTGCTTGGGGAAGGGACGGTGTCTGTACAGTGGCTGTTCTGTGGTTCTGGAAAGAGCAAAGACACGATCCTATGTCAAACTGTTAATCTTTCTTTTCACCACCAAAGCTCTGCTTAAATGCTTAAAGAATAGAAAAACATTATCAGTTTTTTAAGGCAACAGAGGTAAAATGAGTCTTTTTTATAGAATCACAGAATCATAGAATGGTTTGGGTTGGAAGGGACCTTAAAGACCATCCAGTTCCAACCCCCCTGCCATGGGCAGGGACACCTCCCACTAGACCAGGTTGCTCCAAGCCTCATCCAGCCTGGCCTTGGACACTTCCAGGGGTGGGGCATCCACAGCTTCTCTGGGCAACCTGTCCCAGGGCCTCCCCACCCTCTCCGGGAAGAACTTCTTCCTGATATCCAATCTAAACCTCCCCACTTTCAATTTAAACCCATTACCCCTTGTCCTGTCACTACAGGCCCTTGTAAAAAGTCCCCCCCAG